TGTTTAAGGTTGCTCCATGCCCATGGCGTGGTTCGAAGCTGTTACAATACCAGGAAAATGGAGTTGAGGATGCGGCCACACATCAGGTGCAGGGGCAGGAGCATCAACGTGAACATGAATGCTTCTGGAAGCTCCTCTAGCTGAATGTGATCCCGAAGCTTGGAAGCTCTTTGACGCTGCCAACTGTAACAGACCTCAGAGAGAATGTTACTCGAAACTTAATCATTCCAGCTCATCAATCCGAGTCGATCCAAGTTGTACATACTCCACAGCCTTCAATTTATGAAGACATTCTGTAATTACTTAGATTCTGGCCGTTAGATTAAGATGTGTTGGTTATAAGTCTGTAAATTGTTGTGTTTAGATACTAAGTAGGTTTAGTGTTCTGTGTATATATAGATGAGGTAGCAACAGATTCATTTTGTACAGAATATACCAACTCGTTGTTTATGAAAAAGGTAGAGTTCTTCCCCAAATCGTGAGCCCTAGCATTTATTACGTGTTTGATTAGATTGCTTGTTCCACAATCAGGATTCCATACGTTGATAACTTACCTAATCTCTGATGATAGTTCCTGATTTCTTTGATGGTATCAGAGCAGGTTGATCCTGCTCTGAGATTCCGCTGCCAAATTAATCTATGGATCATATGATTACTCTGATTAAGTTCAAGTTTATATCAAGAACTTTTTGATTACTGTATTTCTTGAGAATAAAACAAGGATTCATGGATTTTTACGCACAAGAATTTCACAGAAACATGGACATTCCACTTGTTCGTGATGACATGCGAGAAATTAAAGCGCTGATGAAGCTCATTTGCAAGTGCATGGATAAGAAAATCCAGGCACACCTCTGGTTTCTGTTTTGCTGAATGAAAGAAATTATTTGATCTGGAAAGGTGCGATGTTATCAGTTCTGGAAGCAAAAATTAAGGACGGATTTGTGACAGAATCATTGATGGAACCAGCGGTTAACTATCCATAGTTTGCGCATTGGAAGCAAGCTAACAGCCTAGTATGTTCTTGGATCATAAGCTCAATGTCACCAGAATTGGCTACTACTTTTGCTTTTATGTACGATGCAAGAGCTTTATGGAAGGATATAGCAGAGCAGTATGGAACCACTAATTTTCCTCAGTTGTTTGAAATAAAAAGAGAAATACCCTTAACTAGGCAAGGGGATTCAGCTGTGGCTGCATATTATGGAAAACTGAAGTAACTTTGGGGTCAGTATGCACAGTTAAGGCCTATACCAATGGTGGATAATGAACTAGGATAATTGATGATTTCCAGAGAGTCAGAAGATAAAGGAATGCAGTTTTCATGGGATTGAATGATACCTATGAAAGAGAAAAGAGTAACATACTGTTAATTGATCCATTACCTCCTGTAAATCATATATACAACATGATTCGTACATCAGAGAAACAAAGGCAAGTCAGTGCCATCTGAACATTTAGCTATGATAGCAAGAATTCCTTATTGGCAAAAGAATACAGTGAAAAAGCCAGGAGAAGCAAGGAGTGCTGGTGCTGGTTATCTGAAGAGGGACAAGAGTAATTTGTATCGCACTCATCGCCACAAGTACAAACATACAAAGTAAGAATGTTTCAAGCTCCATGGAAAGCCTGATTGGTGGGAAGATTACACAAAGAAACTACAGATGAAAAATGACCAAGTGCAGGAAAGTTTGGATCAGCTAACATGGTCTTAGTAGACGACGCTCTTTTAGACTTGACTCAGGATCAAAATGGAGGATCAGGGGATCTGCAAATGGTCATATCCAATGCTGTGCAAAGGGAAGTAGGAAGAATTCTAAAAGGAAAGATGTCAGAAGGAAATGGAGGAGGAGCTGCAGTCAACTATGCACATTTTCATGCATTTGCATGTAGTTCTTGCTTAACTAAACTCAATGATTTGACTACTTATTGTATTAAAGTGGTTCTTGGATTTCCGATAGTGGAACAACTAGGCATATGTGCATAGATATCAGACTTATGATCAATGCTAAACTAGTCAAAGTTTTCACACCTGTGTGGCTTCCTAATGGTAGTATCAGTTCAGTGTCTCATATTGGTGATGTTGTTCTTTCAGAAACAGTCACCTTAACCTCTTGTCTGCTTTTACCCAACTTTAAATATAATCTTTTCTCTGGGAAACAGTTAGCCAAAGTCAATAACTTCTATTTCAAATTCTTTGATGATTGTTGTCTGCTACAAGACCTTAAAACAAACAAGGTTCTTGTAGCAGGGAAAGTTATCAAAGAGTTGTATGTCCTTGATCCATATTCATTCACACCAGAAGCCATTTTGCAGTCTCAAACTCAGTTTGCAGCCTTCATGATACACATCAGAAATCCTAATATCACTAGAGCTACTTCAGCAGCGAGCAATCATGTTCTTTCAGCCACTCCTTTTGATGTAATACATCTTAGATTAGGTCATCCTTCTGAGAATGTAATGCATCATATTACACATTGTAACAAGAATGATTGCTTGACAAATAAATGTGAAGTCTATCCACTAGCTAAACAAACGAGACTAGCCTTTGCTAGAAGTGCAATTCAAAATAATAAGTGTTTTGATTTGTTACATATGGATGTATGGGGACCCTATAAACAATCTACTTTGGGTGGGTGTCATTTTTCTTGACCATAATCGATGATTTTAGTCGTTGTAATTGGGTTTTCTTGTTTAAACATAAATAAGAAGTGCCTACCTTAATAGAGCATTTTTTTCTTTGATCAAAAACCAGTTTCAAGCTTCAGTTAAAATCCTTAGAAAAGACAATGGAACTGAGTTCCTGAACCAAACCGTGGCTGTTTTAACTTCCACACTTGGAATATATCATGAAACCAGCTGTCCTTACACACCACAATAGAATGGTGTTGCTGAAAAAAAGTACAGACATCTTCTGCAAGCAGGGAGAGCCTTATTGATTCAATCCAAACTACCAAAGTCCTTTTGGGGGGATTCTATCTTAACTGCCACATATGTCATAAACAGATTACCTAGTGATCTTTTAGGCTGGGAAACACCTTATGAAAGACTTTACAATAAGCCACCAGATATTTAGCACATCTCAGAGTTTTTGGGTGTCTTGCTTTTGCAGTCAATAACAGCCCTCAAAGAGACAAGTATGATCCTAGATCCTTTAAAGGAAATTTCTTAGGGTATCCTAGTTATTAGAAGGGTTATAAAGTATATTGTCCATCTTTACAAAAGACCATAGTATCTAGAGATGTTGTATTTTATGGGGATCAATTTCCAACCATACACATGAATCAGGAAATACTTATTCTTCCTATTAGTAACATGGCAGATACTTATCCATATTCCATTACTCAAACATCATCATATGATTCTTATCCTTTTGATCATGAGCAGTTATCTAATTCTTCACTTGATCATGATATTTTCAATTATCACATGTCAACCTCTTCTAAACCACATCTAATGACATCTGTACAGCCATCATCATCCTCTACTGAGGATTATACCTAGAAGAAGTACTAGAAATTGGCAGATGCCTTCATATCTCAAAGATTTTGAAACCACAGCTCTCATTTCTTTCACACACACACAGAATGCACCTGTTGATAATCCTGTCTATGCACTTTCACTTAGCAATTTTCTTGCACATTTATCTAGTATCCAAGAACCTGTGACATATAATCAGGCCAGGACATATCAGAGGTGGGTTGATGCAATGGACAAAGAGTTAGAAGCTTTGGAGGTGAATGGTACATGGGAGTTAACTTCATTACCAGTAGGAAAAAGGGCAATTGGCTCAAAGTGGGTTTACAAGATCAAATGTAAGCTAGATGGTACATTAGATAAATATAAGACCCGTGTGGTGGCAAAAACGGTATAATCAGGTAGAGGGTGAAGATTTTTATGAAGTTTTCTCACCAGTTACAAAATCAGTTACTGTGAGGCTGTTACTTGCTATTGGTGTTTCAAAATCTTGACCTTTTTATCAGATGGATGTGAATAGTGCATTTTTGCATGGGTTTCTAGATGAAGATGTATACACGATTCCTCCACAAGGTTATACCAAAGCAGGGTGACAAACCGTCGTCAGAACTAGTCAAATAAATTTACCTACTTAACACTAGTATAGCGGAAAATAGGGTCGTACCTACAGAGAAGGAATACTAATTACCAGGTATAAATTACTCCTATTATTATCTAGATAAATGATGATCTCAGATTTATAAAATTTAAACCTAAAATAAATAAATAAAATAAAAGCAAATAATTTTAATTCAATTAATCAAACAAAGAAAACCTAGGACATTGGGTTCACCTACCGAATATTTGGTTGAGTTCAATTCATAAGTATTTGACTTTTAACTTCCATTAATCTCACAACGATTCACCTAATTAAGAACTATACACTCTCGCGTTATAATTCTCTTACTTGGGTTAACCCTATGACTACTCTCGTGACTATAGGAATTAACAAAAGTACATTAAGACCATTAAGAATCAAATATTGCAAAGGTTATAATCTTACTCTCGTAGCTTATAACCTAAGTTTATTATTCCTACGAACTAATATTAATCTTCCACTCTCGCTACTTCGATTAATATCTTCAAACATGTAAATAGTGGCCAATTACTTACACGAATTAAAACAAGAATAACAAATATTAATTAATAGAAAAATCAAATAATAATAAACCAAATAAACCAAATAAATTCGGTGGCTACACCCAAGCCCTAGATTAAAAGAATTTAACCACTAAACATTATTAAAAATAATTCAATAATATTTAGAGACATAATAAACACAAAGTCTGAAATTAAAAGAATTAAAACACCAAAACCCGAAAAACTCTGCCGAAACCGCCGAAGAGCTCCCCGATTTTTGCAATTGCGGCTGCTGCTATTAACGGTGCGTGCAAGAGATCGGCGGCGGGGAGAGCTTGAGTTGCTTCGTGTGCTGCGTGGAGGCGTTGGTGGTGAAGAGGAAGGCAGAGAAGAGGAAGAAGGTGATGATGGGGGTTGATGGTGAGCTCGGCGAAGGAGGAGGGAGTTCGGTGGTGAGGTCTCGGCGGTGGGATGAAGGAGAAGATGATGGAGATCAAGGTGGTGCTGCGCGAGGGTGGTGGCTGCTGGAGGAGAGGTGGTGGTTATGGAAGCAAGGTGGAGGTGTTGCTGCCGGTGAAGGAGGCTGTTGCGTGGAGTTGGGGCTGGGATGGTGTGGTGGTGCGTGGATGCGGGAGGCGAAGGTGATGGAGGTGTAGGGTTCGGTGGTTTTCGATCAAGTTTCGGTTCAGTTCTGTTGTAAAAATAAATCCCTAATCCTCCTTTCATAGGCTTCCGGCTAAACCCTACTCCTTGAAGAACAAGAAAACTTGTTTCCCAATTAATATCGGGATTAAAATTCTTATCCAATTCCAATCCCAAATCGGCCGCATAACCATAACCTTCTCGGCCAATTTTCCGAAAACTTAATTAAACAATCTAAAGTTGCATCATTGGCCCTCCAATTCTCTAAACTCATTAATTTCCTCCCCATCAATTGCTCCAATCTTCAATTCTTTCCCATTGAGTTGCTTTTAATTCGATTTTAGCTCAAAACTTCAACAATTCTTCATTTGAGTACAATTCCTACAATTAAAAATAAAATCACATAAATAGCATATTTGTTCTCAAAATATATTACAAAAATCACAAATTAGGGATATAATAAATAGGTAAAATATAAGCATATCAAATACCCCCAAACTTGAATTATTGCTTGTCCTCAAGCAATCCCAAAAAATTAAAACAAACACAAACATTTAATTATTTAATTTGGCGGCCTCAGAGATTCAATCACATCATATAACACAAAGATTTCGACTACCTCTAGTATGGACTACCTAACAATGCAAATCATAGCTACTTTTAGCCCCCACGCTTGTGTGTGTGCATCGTTTCTTAGGGACATCACTTTACATTTAACATAGAAAACAAAAGCTCTACTGCAAATATGCCATTTTACTTTAACAACAGACTCACATTTCATATCATATTTCAATGCAATGGACCGCCAGACATGCTATGAAGTAGAAGGACTTATCTCACCGACAACCTATTCCCCCTCGTAACCCATTCTTCGGTCCATGCGGCTTTTCTTCAGGACTCTTTCCAACTCAGGCCACTACCCAGAGCATTTTTCCACTCCTATACATAGTGGCTCAGCAACTTAGGGCAGTCTACATATCTATTTTCCTCACCGGGCCTGAGGACTCTCCGCTCAGGTTGCCAATTCCTCACCTCTCAAGGGGCTAGCATCAATATTGAATGCTCTTCCTTTTCTCCGTCATTAAAATTAACCTAACCTCAGAAGCATCCGCCAACACCCCTCCCCCAAACTTACTTAACACAAAGTGTCAAAGCAATAAGGTTTTTTAAGGCTGATATTGGGTTAATGCCTTGCTTTTCCTTCACCAACATGATGGGTTCCACATACAAATCATATAAGTATGAATGAATCAAACACAACTTTTCATGGCATATCTACATCAAACTTATGCAACTATATCTCAGTTTAGGCTTATCCCACAGTCACGACTAAGTGCAAAAGAAACAGGGTATTCAAAGCAACATAGAAATACATAAGTTAAGCAATACAATTCAAAATAGCCTAATTCTTACATGTTATAGATAATCAAAACAACTTCATCATAGGCCTTTTTGGATTTTTCAAATTTTCAATTTTTATGGGTTTTTTATTTAAGAAAGATAAACACAAAATGCATTCCTCTCCCCCACACTTAAAGTATACATTGCCCTCAATGTATAAAACACAAAAGTCAAGACAACCAAGTGTAAAGAAAAGAAAAGACAAAAACAAAAAAAAAAAATGAAAAGAAACGACACAACCTTAGGAATATGAAGCGGAGGACCGGAATTGTTGAATAAATTGTTGCAACTGCCATTCAAGCACACGACCAACTTCTTCAGAATTTGGGATGTTTCATTTTCAGCACCAATGGACACCAGAGTTTTGCCCTTCCAACAAACCTAATTGCAAACTAAAATAAATTAGAAAAATAAACCTAAAAACAGATGATTAAGAAAAACCACGAAAATCCAGAAATCAAAGATCTCCAGATAATCAGGAAAAAAAACTTAACCACCAACTTATTAATGAAAGAAAAAGAAAAATAAAGCAAAAGAAATAATTGGGTTGCCTCCCAATAAGCGCTTCTTTAAAGTCATGAGCCAGACTATATAGCTGATCAATCAGGTGAACGCTCAATCAAAGAGTGGGAACCCCTTTGATACATCATTCTTCTTTTGGCTCCAACTGCACCTACATCACTGATACACTTGTTAGGAGGGTCATTAAAATTAGCAATAAACACATCATTTTTATCTGGCTCCTTAACAGAATCTACTCTAAACACATGATGAGTAAATGTAGGGCATTTGTAATTTTCAGAAAAAGTGAACTCCACAGATTCTTCTCCAATATGAAATTTTAAACTCCCCTTTTTAACATCTATAACAGCACCAGCTGCGGCTAGAAATGGTCGACCTAAAATAATTGGCACATTAGCATCTTCTTCCATATCTAACACAACAAAATCAATAGGGATATAAAATTTCTCCACTTTTACCAGCACATTTTCTAAAATCCCTTTCGGATGAGTTATGGACCTATCAGCTAACTGCAAAGTGATGTTAGTTGGTTTCAAATGTTTTAACCCAAGCTTTCTACAAACAGACAAAGGCATCAATGAAACACTAGCACCTAAATCACATAAAGCTTTATCAAAGCAAACATCACCCATAGAGATAGGAATAGAGAAACTCCCTGGATCACTCAATTTTGGAGGCAACTTTCTCTGAATGACAGCACTACACTCCTCAGATAATGCAATTGTCTCAAAGTCTTTCACTTTTCTTCGATTGGAAATGATCTCCTTCAAAAACTTTCCATACGCTGGAATCTGAGCTAAAGCATCTGCAAAAGGAATGTTAATATGTAATTGCCTAAAAATTTTCAAAAATTTCTCAAACAACCTATCTTGCTTGGTCATATGGAGTCTCTGCGGAAAAGGCACTGGTGGAACATAAGGTTTAAGCGGTGGTGGCACATATATCTTTTCTTCTTCTTGTTCCACTTTCTCCACTTTTTCTTCATTAATCTGCTTACTCTCTACTTTCTTCTCATCAGTGGTCTCATTCACTTCAGTGGTCTTTGGTTCCTCCTTGTCACCCAACTGCTTCCCACTTCTCAACATGATAGCACTACAATTTTCACGAGGTTGATTTCGGACTTGCTTGGCAGTTGACCTTGCCCACGAGTATTCATGGCGGAGGCCATTTGACTCACTTGCATCTCCAAGGTTCTATGAGCAGTAGTCAATTGATCTAACCTTGCTTCGATTCTGTTAAACCGTTCAGTGTTTTCCCTCAACAATTTCTCCATTCTCTCCAAACTTTCCTCCGTAGCTGTCTTAGGCGCGGATTGGTGTGACTTTGCTTGGAAACCAGGAGGGTTTTGAGGTCTTGCATTAAAGTCTTGAGCCCCTTGATTATTCCAAGAAAAGTTTGGATGATTTCGCCACCCAGGATTGTATGTGTTGGAGTAAGGATTGTTCTGCTGTTGAGGCTTGCTGAAATTAGAGACATATTGTGCACTTGCCACTTGCATACATTCAGAGCTCAAATGAGGACCTCCACAGAACTCATAGACAGTGGCATGGAAGACTGCATTAGCATTTACAAGATTACCCATCGCCTTGGTCAGTGCATCTATCTTTACGTTCATGGCACTTAGTTCATTGACTTCATACATTCCAGCAGGCTTCTTGGAAACACTTCTCGAGTTCGACCATTGATTCCTATTCTTTGCCATAATTTGAAACAATTCGTAGGCATCATCAATTGACTTATCCATTAATGAACCTCCAGCTGCAGCATCCACATTGTTTCTTGCTAAGTCTGTCAATCCTTGATAGAAAGTCTGAACTAGAGTACTTTTCTCAATACCATGGTGAGGATATCTTCTTTGCAATTCCTTGAATCTTGTCCATGCAGCATGAAATGTCTCATCATCTTCTTGAATAAACCCAGTAATTTGATTTCTCAATTTCGCTGCCTTATGTGGTGAGAAGAAATTAATCAGAAATTCCTTGTAAAGCTCATCCCAAGTTGTGATGGAACCAGGATCGCAAGTATTCAACCAATTCTTCGCTTCTCCCCTCAATGAAAAAGGGAAAAGTCTTAGCCGGGTTGCATCTGACGTCACACCATTTATCTTAACAGTATCACAGATCTCCAAAAAGTTATCAATATGCGCATTTGGATCCTCATTGTAAAAACCGGAGAATTGATTCTGCTGCACCATCTGGATCAATGCTGGCTTGAGCTCAAAGGTATTCGCAGCAATGGTAGGCCTAGTAATACTTGACCTAGCAACATTCTCCGTAGGTGTAAAGTAATCCCTCAGTGTCCGAGTGTTTACTCTGTCGCCCATGGTTTCACTCTGATTCTGCTCTTTTCTTAGTTTTGCTTCCTTTCTGTTCGCACGAGCTGTTCTTTCTATCTCTGGATCAAATTGCAAAGTCTCAGAATTAGCACTTCGCATATAAAAACAAGACAAAAATATTTAAAAGAAATCACTAAAATAGTAAGACAATAAAATAAAATAAAATAAAAACAAATCTAAACTAATAAAAGAAAGTAATCTAAATTCGATATTAGCTGCCTTCCCCGGCAACGGCGCCAAATTTGACAAGCCGTCGTCAGAACTAGTCAAATAAATTTACCTACTTAACACTAGTATAGCGGAAAATAGGGTCATACCCACAGTGAAGGAATACTAATTACCAGGTATAAATTACTCCTATTATTATCTAGATAAATGATGATCTCATATTTATAAAATTTAAACCTAAAATAAATAAATAAAATAAAAGAAAATAATTTTAATTCAATTAATCCAACAAAGAAAACCTAAGACATTGGGTTCACCTACCGAATATTTGGTTGAGTTCAATTCATAAGTATTTGACTTTTAACTTCCATTGATCTCACAACGATTCACCTAATTAAGAACTATACACTCTCGCGTTATAATTCTCTTACTTAGGTTAACCCTATGACTACTCTCGTGACTATAGAAATTAACAAAAGTACATTAAGACCATTAAGAATCAAATATTGCAAAGGTTATAATCTTACTCTCGTAGCTTATAACCTAAGTTTATTATTCCTACGAACTAATATTAATCTTCCACTCGCTACTTGATTAATATCTTCAAACATGTAAATAGTGGCCAATTACTTACACGAATTAAAACAAGAATAACAAATATTAATTAATAGAAAAATCAAATAATAATAAACCAAATAAACCAAATAAATTCGGTGGCTACACCCAAGCCCTAGATTAAAAGAATTTAGCCACTAAACATTATTAAAAATAATTCAATAATATTTAGAGACATAATAAACACAAAGTCTGAAATTAAAAGAATTAAAACACCAAAACCCGAAAAACTCTGCCGAAACCGCCGAAGAGCTCCCCGATTTTTGCAATTGCGGCTGCTGCTATGAACGGTGCGTGCAAGAGATCGGCGGCGGGAGAGCTTGAGTTGCTTCGTGTGCTGCGTGGAGCGTTGGTGGTGAAGAGGAAGGCGGAGAAGAGGAAGAAGGTGATGATGGGGTTGATGGTGAGCTCGGCGAAGGAGGAGGGAGTTCGGTGGTGAGGTCTCGGCGGTGGGATGAAGGAGAAGATGATGGAGATCAAGGTGGTGCTGCACGAGGGTGGTGGCTGCTGGAGGAGAGGTGGTGGTTATGGAAGCAAGGTGGAGGTGTTGCTGCCGGTGAAGGAGGCTGTTGCGTGGAGTTGGGGCTGGGATGGTGTGGTGGTGCGTGGATGCGGGAGGCGAAGGTGATGGAGGTGTAGGGTTCGGTGGTTTTCGATCAAGTTTCGGTTCAGTTCTGTTGTAAAAATAAATCCCTAATCCTCCTTTTATAGGCTTCCGGCTAAACCCTACTCCTTGAAGAACAAGAAAACTTGTTTCCCAATTAATATCGGGATTAAAATTCTTATCCAATTCCAATCCCAAATCGGCCGCATAACCATAACCTTCTCGGCCAATTTTCCGAAAACTTAATTAAACAATCTAAAATTGCATCATTGGCCCTCCAATTCTCTAAACTCATTAATTTCCTCCCCATCAATTGCTCCAATCTTCAATTCTTTCCCATTGAGTTGCTTTTAATTCGATTTTAGCTCAAAACTTCAACAATTCTTCATTTGAGTATAATTCCTACAATTAAAGATAAAATCACATAAATAGCATATTTGTACTCAAAATATATTACAAAAATCACAAATTAGGGATATAATAAATAGGTAAAATATAAGCATATCAGGTCTGGACAAATGTGGAAGCTCAGGAAATCTCTCTATGGCTTGAAGCAAGTTTCAAGACAATGGAATCAGGAGTTCCCTACTCAGTTGTAGCAGTATGGCTTCATCCAGTCATACAATGACAATTGCTTGTTCATATTAAGTAAGGAAGATTGCCTTCTATTTTTACTGGTCCATGTTGATGATATACTGCTCACAGGGAATGATGTTAAAGAGATGATGAAGGTCAAGAGCTTCCTTGATCAGGCCTTCACTATTAAAGACTTAGATGAAGCCAAATACTTTTTGGGAATGGAGTTCAATTACACTGATAAAGGTTTGTACATTCAGCAGCAAAAGTACATTACAGATTTGTTAAGAGATGCACAGATGCTGGATTGTGTGCCAGCAACAACACCATTTCCTAGAGAACTCAAATTTGAGTCTTTGGATAAGGATACTACCCTTTTACTTGCTGATCCTGAAAAATAGAGAAGGCTGATAGGAAGGCTACTGTATCTCCACTTCAGTCGCCCTGATCTGACCTATTGAGTGCAACAACTTAGTCAATTTGTGGACTCACCTCATGAGTCACACTGGTGTGTAGCTATCCATGTCCTGAAATACCTTAGTGGATGCATTTCCACTGGATTGTATTATGCCAAGAACTCTTTCTTTGAACTAAAGGCTTATAGTGATGCAGATTATGGGAACTGCAAGTCTTCTAGGCACTCAGTTACAGGATTTTGCATTTTCCTTGGGAGCAGTTTGATATCTTGGTAAGCTAAGAAGCAATCCATAATCTCTTGTTCTTCAGCTGAAGCTGAGTACAGAGCTATGGCTTCTACTATCAGAGAACTTCAGTGGATCACATATTTACTTCAAGATTTCAAAGTCTGCTTGACACTACCAATTCCTTTCTTCTGTGACAATCAGGCAGCGCTCTACATCACTGGGAATCCTGTTTTTCATGAAAAGACCAAACATTTAGAGATTGATTGCCATGTGGTTCGTGACAAGTTCAAGGAAGGGTTCATTCTGCCACAACACATTGCTTCCTCTTCTTAACTTGCAGACACATTCACCAAGTCACTTGGACCATCACAGTTTCATTTTATCCTATCCAAGATGAGCTTGTTACATGCTCATCTTGCAAGGGGGATGTTACAATATCAAGAAAATGGAGTTGAGGATGTGGCCACACATCAGGTGCAGGCACAGGAGCATCAACGTGAACTGATGTGCATATATTCACATATATTTAATATCACTTTATGCGAGATATTTGCCAATATTTGAGTACAAAATATGCTATTTATGTGAATTTATCTTTAATTGTAGGAATAGTACTCAAATGAAGGAATTTATCTTTAATGGGCGGAACTGAAGATGAGAGTAAGAAATGAGGAAGAAATAAGAGGACCAAAATTGTTGGAGGACTAAACATGCAATTTTTCAATTGAAGCTTTGCTTCGGCCGAGAGATTTGCATGGGCTAGAGTTTGCTTTTGGCCATGATTTTCTTTTGGAAGCCCACATATCACAAGGCAGGCTAGTTCATGCTTTCGTTTCGTTTGGAGTTTTGATCTTGGAATTAATAAGCCCGAGGCCCATGTTTTTGAATTTGATGCTTCCAAATTTTGCTGCTGCTTCTTGCCGCAGACGAAACCACAAAGGAATTGCAACTGGTGAAGGTGATGAGGGAGTTTGATTTTCGGCAGAAAATTTAACCCAACTTGAAGTAGGGAACAAGTAATCTTAACCTCCAAGAAATAAGGCTGGAGAAAGACCATATAAAGAGATGCTAGGGTTGTTATGTGGAGAGCTTCGACCACCGAACTACAAAAAACCTTCTCCGCCGCAACACCATTTTTTCCCCCAGCTCCTCCCATTATCATCAGCCCATCATCACCTTCAGACTTCAATCTTCCACCAACCGAAAAGAAGGAGAAGCTGTACGCAATCAAAAAGCAAGCAGCAGCGGCAACCGACTTTGGAGCGAGGACTTTGGAGTTGTTTCCACGGCTATTTTTATTTTCAGAATTTTGGATTATGAATATTATTATTATTGCATCATCAATTTTAATAATATTTAGAGGCTAAAGTTCTATAACCTAGGACTTGAATGTAGCCACCGGATTTATTTGGTTTATTTGATTCATGATACTTTGATTTTTCCATTGATCAATATTTGATATTCTTGCTTTTATTCCATGTTTTTAACTGGCCACTACTTGCATGTTTAAAGATATTAATTGATGGAATGACAGGTTAAAATTAATATTAGTTCATGGGAATATCAAACTTAAGTTGTGAGTTACGAAAGTAGGGACACAACCTTTGCAACGTTAGATTCTTAAGATGTTAATGTGCTTTTACTAATCCTATAGTCACGAGAGTAGTCATAGGGTTAATCTAAGTAAGAGAACTATAGCTCGAGAGTGTGTAGTTCTTAATTAGGTGAATCGTTGTGAGATTAATGGAAGTTAAAACTAAGATATTTATGAATTGAATCAAACCAAATATTCGGTAGGTGAACCCAATGTCATAGGTTTTCCCAACTTGATTGCTTCAACCTTTGAAAGTAATTGCATATTTTAGATTCTAGCTTTAGTTTTATTTTAATTAAAAATCTGAGATCATCATTTATCTAGATAATAATAGGAATAATTTATACCTGGTAATTAGTATTCCTTCTCTGTGGGTACGATCCTATTTTCCGCTATACTAGTGTTAAGTAGGTAAATTTATTTGACTAGTTGTGACGACGGCTTGTCATGAACATGAATGCACACGATTGGGACTACCAACCTCAGCTTATCAGCAACAGCGTCTGAAAGCTCCTCTATCTGATTGTGGTCCCGACACTTGGAAGCTCTTTGACGCTGCCAACTGTAACAGACCTCAGAGAGAATGTTACTGAAAACTTAATCATTCCAGCTCATCAATCCGAGTCGATCCAAGTTGTACATACTCCACAACCGTCAATTTATGAAGAACATTTTGTAATTAGTTAGATTCTGGCCTTAGATTAAGATGTGTTAGTTGTGAGTCTGTAAATTGCTGTGTTTAGATGCTAAGTAGGTTTAGTGTTCTGTATATATAGATGAGGTACCAACAGATTCATTTTGTACAGAATATACCAACTCATCGTTTATGAAAAAAGGAAGAGTTCGTCCCCAAATCGTGAGCCCTAGCATTTATTACGTGTTTTATCAGATTGCTTGTTCCACAATCAGGATTCCATATGTTGATATCTTACCTATTTTTTGATGATAGTTCCTGATTTCTTTGAGAACCCTCGACCTGTGGTTAAGGGTGGAGGAGTCCCTTCCGCTCCACCACAACCACTTTGGTTAACTCGTTGGTATAATTAATTGAAGTAAAAATCAAGAAGAATGAGACCACGAAGAAAATAGGTACCAAACTTCGAGTAATAGTTTCAATCTGTACTGATTTGTGTATGCTTTGTACAATTTTGTGTTACATCTAAGACTAATTTCCTACAAAATTGGATTCTCAACTCTACTAAATCAGAGTTAATGGTTTAGAATATTGAGGATGGAAACTCTGGTTTTCAAAAGTTGTCTAAAAACACTTTCCAGCAATTCCTCTGATTCTTGAATGTTGGAATTGATTGCCTCAAGTTTTCTGACCATGCTCAGACTGTCGGAGTTCTTTCCTTTCAAGAGATTCAACTCAACTTCAATCTTCTCAATCTCTGATTTGATGACCTTGGATGATGATGATCTCTTTTGCTGGATTAATTTTGAGACCACCGACCAGCCCTTTGTCTTTGATCCAGAAATGAATGAAAAAGAGGATTCTAGGATTGTTAGGCTAATTTCTTGGATTTCTTGAATCAGGCTAGAAGAGCCACTGGCCATCATTGCCTTCGTCAGTTCTTTGTGACATTTGGAGATTCTTTTGTTCAAATGTTTTCTAGAGGTTGTGTAAGTGGCAATTTCTTGAGTAAAATCGCCTGTTCTGTTCCTTCTGAGAGATGACTCGAGTTGTTGAATGATTTCCTTCATCTGTGAGTAGATTTCTCTGATTTCTCCACAGATGTCCAAAATGCTCAATGATCCCTCCAGAACTGATTCTTCAGAGAGGCTTTTTTGAATGTTTGGCAGCTGGAGAATATCATCCAGAAGGTTGTACAAGTTCTTGAGTCCATCAAGGTTTCGACAAGTTGAATCGTGTGACGATGAACCCGCTTCCGATGATGACTTCAACCTCTGAAGATGTTCCTCAGCATTTGAAACAAGAGGATGTGATGATGATAAAGCCCAGCTAATGGAACGCGCGTGGCTGGAGAATTTTGTGTTTTCCATTTCTGTCTTTCGAACTTTTTTGTTGGATCTTAACTTTTAGCTTCAGGTCTTAGGAAGTGACTGAATAAATGGTGAGGAATCGGGGCTTTCTGAACACGTTTATATACAGGATTGGTAGGAAACAGACGGAATCTCGCACGCTCCTTGCCTTGCTGTAATCGCTGATCGTGCCTGTATTTTGTCTCAATCATGTTGCAATGACGTTGAGTCTATTAGG